GGGGTTCAAAACAAAAAAAATTTTTTCCCAGTACCAGGGATCAAACTCAGGACCTTGCGCTTATGAGGGAGGTATGGTGCCACTGAGCTAAATTCCTGGCCCAAAAAAAAATAATTTCTGAGAGGGGGATGTAGCTCAGTGGTGGAGCACTGGCCTAGCATGCATAAGGCCATGGGTTCCATCCCTAGCACTTAAAAATGAAAACAAAAAGCAAAACACTAATCTTTGGTGTTAGAAAACAGGATATAGGTTAAATCAGAGTTTCGAGCCTGAGCAGGTTACTAAGGTAACAACCAATCCCTTTATCTGTTGCTAGTTCATGAATTTGTTCACTTTATGAAAATTAATCAAGCTATGCCCTGATAATTTCTGCACTTTTTCTGTGTGAACGAATAATGTTTTCAATTAGCTCATTTAGAGAAATGGACACTGCACAAAAACTAACAGGAATGGGCACCAAACCATTATTTTCTGCATGTATTCAAATTAAAATTAATCTTTTAAAAAACTAATGTTGGGCCAGGGATTTAGCTCAGTGGCATCGTTACTGCCTTGAAAGCACAAGGTCATGAGTTCAATCCCCGGTACCAAAAAAATAAAATAAAATAATTTAAAAACAAATGTTATGGCTTATATATAGATGTTCCCTCAAAGCCTCATGCAGTTATAGGTGGGGCTTTTGGAAGGGACTGGATCATGGGTGTGCGATACTAGATTTGTCTACTGACTGAGGTTTAGCATAGTTCTGGGTGTGAATGGTAGATTTAATGAAGACAGAAGCCCCACCCTGGGTGTGGCTGACACCAACCAATAGGCTCCTAGTGTGGATGGAACAAAAGGAAAGATGGAGGAAGCCTGCTGCTTCCTGCCTGCCCTCCCATGGACTGTTTCTCCACTGCGATGTCCTTCTGCCATGCCGCCCTGCTTGAAGCCAGATGACTATGAGTTAAAATGTCTACAAACTGTGAGTTAAAATAAACCTTTCTCTTTTAACTTGCGAGTGTCAGGTATTTTGTCCCAGCAAAGAGTAGGTAACTAAGATACTGGAGTATTTATCATTCTAAACCAAAACTATTCTTAAAGGAAAAAACTCTCTGTTGCTCCATTCCCCCATTTTTAAAATGGGGTTGTAAGGAGCAGTAAGAGGGTTGACCCATGTAAAACCCTCAGAACCACATCTGGCACCTAATGATCATGTAACAGTGGTTAGCAACTGCTATTATTCTCACCCAAGTAGCCCAACCAAAGTGACAAGTATTATTGACCAGCCGTACAAAACAAAGCCAGGAACTGTGATTACTGGAAACCCTTTACGAAGCAGCAAACATCTGGGGACAGCGCCCAGGTCCTGTGGACCACATGAAACATGTTTTAGGGTATCCCTAAGGGGGATAGGAGGGGCCCAGCTCCAAGCCACACAACTTTGCAACATGGCTATAGACAGCACCCAAGACAAGACTGTCTAGATCACACTGCCAGTGACATCAGATTAAGACAAGGTTTATTAATGTATTACACTAATGGATAGCACCTCTGCTGAAATAGCAAGATACAAAATGCTTCTTGTATTGCTCTGTCTTGGCTGCCACAGTAAGGTATCACAGACCGGGGGCTTAAGAAGCAGACACTTACTTTGTGAACCCAAGACCAAGGTGTCTGCAGAGCTGCTTCCGCATAGGCCCCTCCCCGGGGCTTACAGACGGCCCCATCCTCAGGTGGTGCCTCCTCTGGGTGTCCTCACCTCTCCCAAGGACTCCAGTCAGACTGGGTGGGGCCACCCTAATGGCCTCACTCTAACTTCATCACCTGTCACTGTCGCGTCTCCAAATACAGTCACATTCAGGGGAGGTTAGGGACTGGACCTAGGGAAGGGCTTCGGTGACAGGGTAACACTGCCCGAGACTCTGCTGACAGCTCAAAGCTACCTTGGTCACCAAGCCAGAAAGCTGGACTTCAAGTCAAGAACCACAGTGCAGATGTGAATTTCTGGCCCAACAGGTTTTCTGGTATTTTTAAGACAGACGAGTCACTCTAAAAGGACAAGAGGAGCGAGCACTCACTGCCTGCTCTTAAGTGCTCCCACCAGGGTGGTGCTGTCCTCTTAGGGGACTCCTGGGAAGGCCTGGAGGCAGTATGGCTGTCACAAGTGTGTGGGAGGTGCCGCTGGCAGCCAGCAGGTCCAGCCAGGGATGCTGTTAAGAATCCCAGGTGCGTGCAGGGGACAGTACCCAGCACGGAGCACTGTCAAGCCCGGACAGCAGCAGTGCCGAGGTCCGGAAGGCCTGACACCCGACCCGACTGACTCTGACTTCACCTCTCACCACTAACAACCGCCCGGCAGGAGTGGGTCACTCTCCAGCCTGTGCTATGAGCAAGACGCTGTGACACTACATGTGGCCTCCTCCTCAGGGACAGCAGCCAACAGATTGCTGCTCTCTGGCACTGGGCAAATGCCACGCAGGGCAAATGCCACTCGGGGAAGGAAGTTCACCGGATCCACCCAGCTCTCCTCTCTAGCTCTCACCAGCCGCCCTTCCCCCATGAAGTCCCTTCCAACTGTCTTCTCCCGAGGTCCCCTCAAACTGCTAAGACGAAAATAACAGCAACATTAAGATTCCCCACTCAAAGCCTGGTGTGCTGGCACAGGCCCATAATCCTAGCTACTCAGGAGGCTGAGGCAGGAGTATCACAAGCTTGAACCCAGCCTGGTCAACTTTGTAAGACCTTCTCAAAAATAAAAAATAAAAAGAGCTGGGGTGTAGCTGAGTGATAGAGCACCCCAGGATTCGACTCCTAAGACTTTAAAACAAAAAAGGCCAGGCAGGGATTTAGCTCAGTGGCACCATGCCTGCCTTCCAAGCGCAAGGTCCTGAGTTCGATCCCTCATACCAAACAAACAAACAAAAAAGATTCAGAGTCAACCTGGTAAACTAACCATCCATGTCTAAACCATGCTTTTCATGGATAACTTGGCAAAACACAATTTTGGGGTTTTTTTGTGAGCACAACCCGAGTATTCTCTCCCTTTTACAGTCATTTTAGCACAGGCTAAAAAAAAAAAAACCTCCAAAAACCTCAGCTGTAGGGCTGGGGACTTAGCTCAGTGGTTTCACCGCCTGCTGTGCAAGCTCAAGGACCTGAATTTGATTCCCAGTACCAAAGACAAAACAAAACAAAACCTCAGGTGTAACTCTTGAGGCTGCCAGGAGCCTCAGAACTCTTACTGACTTCCTATTAGTCTTTAAATCAATTCCCTTTTTACTTAAAAGTATTCTAGCCGGGGATTTAGCTCAGTGGTTCCGCTGCCTGCCTCGAAAGCACAAGGACCCAGAGTTCAATCCCGGGTACCAAAAATAAATAAATTAAATTAAATTAAAAAATAAAAGTATTCTAAAAAGACACTTCCTGCCATCACTACAAAGAGAAAACAAGATCACTTGGCTCAAACAAGGAAGCCATAAGTGCCTGCCAACCTTAGCGTGCTGAGCAGCGGGCCTGGGCAAGGTTTCCCACCCAGAATCTTTCCACATAAACACCAGTGAGCAACCACAGACGTCGGTCCATAAAATTGGCGCCATTCCACCTGTTCAGGTAAAAGCTACGGATGAAAATGTTACAATTTGGTCTTTTTTCTTTCTAAATAAAACCAAAGGCAAGGCGCTGGGGATGCAGCTGTGGGGTAGAGCCCTTGACCGGCACGAAGCAGGGCCCTTGGCTCAGTCCCAGCACTGCCAAAAGTGAGTGAAGCAAAGCTGCTTCGTGCCCAGTCCTTGTGGCTTTCGTCATCTGCATTTGAGTAAAGACACAAAGAACTTCTTGTTTTCAGAAGCGACAGCCAGAAGCCCAGAGCCTGGCCTCCTCCTTCCAACCTATCCTTGGTGTGGCTAAGATCAAGGTCCAATGGCTGCTGATCCCCTCGGGGCCTGGCACGCACACCCCTGCTCTCCAGCCTTGCCTCACCAGGGACCCAGGAAGAGCCGCTGGCAGGGAGTCCCAGCAGGCACGGCAAGCGCTGCCCCAGTCCTCACCTGGGTCCATGACACATCCCTGTCACCACGGAGGCCAAGCACCAGGTCCGCTTTGGGCGGGGCGGGGTAGGGCAGTGCTCTGTGGCTGGCAGTGCGTGGCACTGGTGCAGCTGGGCAGCTGGCAAAGGGCACAGAGTGCACTTCCTGGTGGCTGCTGCCAGGACTCCGCTGACTGCCCTCACCCAAGGGCCCAGAGCAGGGGAAGGGACGTCACCAGCACAAGACTCCTCCCCACACCTTCGCGCTGTGGATGGAGGACAACCTCCTTCACATGGAAGAGAGGCTTGACACACACTGAAGGACACTGACGAAACAGGCACGCAGCCTGTCTGCAGCACGCAGGCTCCCAGCTTCTCTGTTTGCGTATTCACCTCCCTCACGTTTCCAAACCCCCAAATCTACACTTGGAACTCAGTCACAGTCCTGCACAGACACCAGCTCAGTGGCAGGAACTTGAGTGGCCCCAGACACCAGCATCCCCCCTGCAGCTGAACACAGTGCATCCCACCTTCCTGCTGCTGCTCTCACTGTACACAAGAGTCCTTTTGTGCTGTGTTTTTGTCATCTCTGCATCTTCTCTTGGCCCAGGATGGTGGTGCACAGCTGTAATCCCAGCACTCGGGAGGCTGAGGCAGGAGGATCACTGAGAGTTTGAGGCCAGCCTGGGCTACACAGTGAGTTCAAGGCCAGCCTAAACTAACATAGCGAGATCCTATCTCAAAATAAATATAAATAAATAAATAAATACATGAATGAATAAATAAATAGGGCTGGGGTGTGGCTCAGTGGTAGCTCCCAGGTGTCAAGAGGAAAAACAACAATGGTCCCTAAGTATGGTGCTTACCAGCAGCTGGTGCTCCCAAGCCCAATGAGGCTGGAATGTCACCTTACACAGAAAACATGTTAGGGAAACTTTGAGTTCAATGATAATGAAGCCATGGCCTATATTACACATGGGGTCTGTTGTAGGCAGGGTTTTGCTAGGGAATAAATTTAATACAAGACACATAATTTATAGGATTATTTTATAGTATTCACCCAAAAAGTAAAATCCAGAGGAGTGCAAGAGATTAGCTGCATACTAGAGACCCAAAGAATCCAGCCAAGGACCTGGATCCCACAGCAATGTTCCGCCTAAGTCCAGCTGAAGGCCTAGAGCCCACAGCAACGTCTAAGGCAAGTCCACATCAAGGATCTGCACCCGAAGGCCCAAAGGCCAGTGGTGGAAGGCAGAAAGCCTGTGCAGCGGGCTGAAGGGTCTGTGCCAGCAGGCTGAGGGATCTGCACTGAAGCCTGGAAGCAACGCTCAAGGTGAAGACCAGAGCTGCCCTGAGAACAGCTGCCATTCCCAGCGGACGCAGGGAGGCCCCGAGCTCCTCCTCCCACGAGAACAAGCTTCTCCTAGAAAAGCAACAGCCCCCATCTTCCCCTCCTGTTCTCTTTTTATGCCATTGGCAACAATCCCCAGGTGGGCCTTCCACGTCCAACCATGCTGACTCAGTTCAGCTGGTTGTTCCAAGGTGACCAGTAGTCAAGCCACCACAGGGTCTTTGAACAGAAATACACAACAAAGTTCTGTATTGATCAGTTGACAAAAATATGACCAGAGTCTTGTGAAAGCCAATGCCTGTGTTTCCCCAGGAAGCCACGGTCAGTACTCAATAATTCAGGGTTCTCAGGACCTTAAAATGTAACAAAATGTAACTGCGCAAAATGTAACTGTGGTGGATAATAAAAATCATACCCAGGGCCGGGGATTTAGCTCAGTGGTTCCGGCACCTTTGGTGCAAGCACAAGGTCCCAAGTTCGATCCCCAGTACCAAAAATAAACAAAAACAAAAATCATACCCAACACTGCCCCACCATGTCAAAGAAAAACAGCAATTTTACTGTTGTTGTTTGTTTTTTGAGACAGTCTCACTGTGCAGCCCAGGCTGGCCTCGCACTCAAAATCCTCCTGTCTCAGCCTCCTCCTGAGTGCTGGGAGTACAGGCATGCACCATCACATCCTCCTGAGAAAAAGTATTTTCATACCAAAAATTACAAGCGACAGCTCCAATAAAAAGTGCAGGGCTTTGGGGAGTAGCTCAGTGGGACAGCACACACAAGGCCCTGAGTTTGACCCCCACGGCTGCAAAAATAAAAAGAAAAAAGAAAAAAAATCCGGGCTTTAAACTAACAGACCTGCCAGCTGCAGCGACGAACACCTGTAATCCCAGCACTCCGGGAACCCAGGCAGGAGGAAGATTTCGAGTTCAAGGCCAGCTTGGGCTACAGGGCAGCTCCTATCTTGAACCGACCTATCTGGTGAAGAACTCCCAAGGCGGACACTATTTTTCTTGGTTTCCAGGAACCACAAGACCCTCATGTCTGCCGGCCCTGGACCTGTCACAGCATGGAGGACAGCTACAGGGGGCCCAGGCCTGCTGCACCTGTCACTCGGGGCTCTGGGACTTGAGGAGCCTGTGTGTGGCTGCAGGAGGCTGCAGTGGAGTTAGTCCCAGCCAGAGCCCTAGCTCAACTGGAGCCTGCATGTTCCGGAAGAAGAGAAGCCACTCCTGCCTGGGAAAGAGCTCAGCCCGCTTCAGGTCCAGTCCTACCCTGCACATAAAGATTCTTCTGAGCTTCACTCTACGCACTCATCTGCTATTCCAGACGGTCATGCCCAACATCGAAGATACTCCTGCCTTGCCTCCATTTTACAGAAAAGGAAACTGAGGCACAGCGGACTGGAGTATACAAATGCAGAGTGAGCATCTCTAATCCAAAAATCCAAAGTGCTCCAAAATCTGAAACTTTTGAGCACTGACATGACAACTCACATGCAAAATTCTACACCATAAAGATTTGTTTCATGCACAAATTTATTTAAAATACTGGCATGGCTTGCACCTGTAGTCCTAGCTCCTTGGGAGGCTGAGGAAGGAGGATTGTTTGAGCTCAGGAGTTTGAAGCCAGCCTTGGGAACACAACAAGATTCCATTCAAATAAAGTAAAAAAAAATTGTACAAAATTACCTTTGAGTTATATGTATTAGGTATACACGGAACATAAATTTTGGGTATAGACTTAGGTCCTATCCCCAAGATATCTTATTATATACACGCAAATATCCCCCAATCTAAAAAATCGTAAATCTCACACACTTCCAGTCCTAAGCATTTCAGATAAGGGACAACCTATACTAGAACAGTAAAACTGGTACATTGGCCTGAGGTGCTCTAACTCTCGGATCCAAATGCTCCACCACAGGGCAACAAAGCCAGCCCATCCTGGGGATTAAAAAGCATCAAGGGCTAGGGCCATAACTTGTGGCAGACCATCTGCCTGGCAAGGCCTTGGGTTCCACTCCTAGCACTGCAAAAAAGAGAAACGGGGGTAAAAAGTGTCACCCCCAAATCCTCTATTGTGCAGGCACCTAGCAAGACAAACACACAAGCAAACAAAAACTCATTGTTACTGGTGGGAAAACAAACAGGACAGCCAGCCTGTGCTGGAAAACAGAGCTGCTCAAAGGCCGCTCAGGAAGGAAACCCCGCCCAGTGGGCCTGGCCTGGCTTCCAATTAGTTTCTGCCACTCTGGGCCTGGACTAGATGCCTCCATTTCCTTATTAGTAAAACAAGAACTGAAAAAGAAAAAGCCAACATCAAAGGGCCACTGTGCCGCAGAACGAGAAGCTACCGGCTCAGAGCCAAAATGCAGCAGGTCTAAGTGAACATTTGTCTTCTCCGTGGTCAGGTAAGGAGTCACACAAGGTGACCACTGAAGTTCTGGGCTCTCCAGCACAAGGTCGGCCGAGGCTTCACATGCCTCTGAGGCATCCGCCCAGCCAGGGGCTTCTGGTCTCCACCCCGACCACCCCCACAGGAAGGGAAGCCTAGTGCAAGGATCTGTCACCAGGATCATCAGTATGGCCCTGGTCTCTCTGGCTTCCCCTTGCTGCTGTTAAAACTAAACAAAACCCTACTACTAAGCGGCTTACAGTAGTGCAAATACAACCTCTTACACTCCTGGAGGTTAGAAATTCAAACTGGATCAAAAGGATGTGGGCAGGCTGTGCTCCTGCGGGGGTCCCCGCCTTCCCCAGCTCAGAGGGCCCAGGCCCCTGACCGGAGGCCCCTCTGCCATCCTCCCGCCAGCAGCACAGCACCTTCCAGTCTCTCGGGCTCTGCCATCCCCTCTCCTACCTCGAAATCTCCCGTCGGGGTCCTGGGACTACACGGGACTGTCCAGGATGAACACCCCATCTCCAGGTCACCAACCATCACAACTGCAAGGTCCCTTTGCTATGTAAGGGTAACTTCCCAGGTGACAAGGATGTGGCCAGGTTTGGGGCTGTGATTCCGCCCCCCCCCCACCACATAAGCTATAACCTCTGGAAGAATCTGAATTCCTTACTATTTGATTCTTTTCTATTAATGTTTGACTTCTTACATCTTTATTAATATATCTCTGTAAGATTCCTTGCATGAATTGTATTGTAAATAATTTGTAATTTCCTCTCTATCCTGATGTTCTCACCTAAAACCATTCTGGCTGGGGAACTGGTTAGTTCTTCAAGGTGACAGGGCCCAGCGGGGAGCAGAGTTTGACTGCAAGCTGAACAATCCAGGTCAGGACCTCCTCAGTCTGACCCAGGATCCCGAGCCAGGCACCGGGCGGCAGGCAACTGTCTGGGAAGCCCAGGGCCTGATGGGATTGATGGAGCAGTCAGTCCTGCACTGTCACTCCGCTGGGCCTTCATCCTGCCAACTCCAGGGAGGGCAGGCTCCTGTCTCCTGAGCACCCTGGTGTCATTCACACCTGGCCTAGCATGCATGCCGCCTGTCTCAGCACCTGTGAGTATGGAACAAGACCCATTTCCTTTTCCTGAGTCTCTCCTCTGTTCCCTTTTTCTTCTTTTGGTCCCCTCTAGTACTGGGGACCATCGCTTCTCGGCCTTTTGGCTAAGATCAAGGGTAGTATCTAGTACTGGGGATTGAATGCAGGGCCTTCCCACTAAGCTACATCCCAAACTTTTTTATTTATTTTGAGACAGGGTCTTGCTAAGTTGCTGGGGCTGGGCCCAAACTTGTGACCCTCCTGCCTCGGCCCTCCCAGAGTGCTGGGATCACAGGCATGACCACCACACCCGGCTTTCTCCGATCCTGCCTGACTGG